AGGTCGAGAAGACGCCCAGCAAAGACGTCACCACAGAGGGGCAGAATGAGGGCACAGAGGAAGATGGTGCTGGCCAGCAGCCAGACAGTATGTCAATTGACTTATCATTTGTGGGAAATATCTACTAATGAGTCTAGACATCTTCCAGGTCACCATCAAGCTCCCACACGAGCCGTTCGAGATGCCGATAACGGTGCGTATTGAGAATTAGAAAAGAAAATATGGACGACAAACTCACGACTCCAGATCTCAACGGCCGAGCAGGTGCAAGACCTCCGTCAGAGCATCATCGAGACGCCCCACACGTTCCAGTACTCGTGCTTCCACCTGGAGCACGACGGCAAGCGGATCAACGATTACGTCGAACTCTCTGAAGTCGAGGGACTGAAGGCCGATTCGGTACTCACCCTGGTGGAGGACCCATACACAGAGAAGGAGGCGCGGTTACATGTGGTCCGCGTACGCGAGCTTATCGGCGCTGCCGGTGACCGTACCGATGCGCTGCACGGCATCATGGCTGGACTGTCACTGCACGACACTGTCGGCCACGAGCAGATCTCCAAGCCCAAGCAGGACGGCCCTGAGCAGTCGCCGTTGGCAGACTACGACTTCAAGGCATCGGGCAACATCAAAAACCTGCTGCCGCCCACCGAGGAAGCCGCGCCCAAGACGATCAAATCCATCGCCGTATCGCCCTGGAATCCCCCGCCATACCACCTCCGCTCCAAGGGCCATCTGCTGTACCTGGTAGTCACGACCAACGAGAACGAGCAACACCACATCACAGCTCACGTCTCTGGCTTCTACGTCAACAAGTCGTCGAATGCCAGTTTCGACCCCTTCCCGCGCCAGCCACCAAAGGACAAGCAGGCACACTCGCTCCTCACCCTCCTTGAGGACCTGTCACCATCTTTCCGCACTTCGTTCCAGGAACTGCTGGAGCACAATGCGAAGAAGGAGTTGCTTACCATCTTCCAGCTCTCCAACGCCATCCCCGCCAACCCATGGTTGGTCCCCGCACCCACGTCATCCCTCACCCCACACCAGCCGGATCTCGCGCGGACACAGGAGAGCTATCTGATCTCGGGTGTTGAGAACACGGAGACCCTCCGCGACTGGAATGAGGAGTTCCAGTCAACGAGGGAGATGCCCAAGGAGGCTGTCCACGACCGCGTCTTCCGCGAGCGCCTCACATCGAAGCTCTTTGCCGACTACAACGATGCCGCGACCCGCGGTGCCATGCTGGTAGCACGGGGCGAGATTGCGCCTCTCAACCCTACCGAGGCCAAGGACGCGCAGATCTTCGTGTACAACAACATCTTCTACTCCTTCGGCGCTGATGGCGTCGGCACATTCGGCGCTGAGGGTGGTGATGAGGCTGCGCGTGTGGCTGTGGGCAAGGACGTTTTCGGTGTCCGCGCTGTGAACAACCTCGACATCAACAACCTCTTCACCTCCGGAACCGTCGTCGTTGACTACCAAGGAAAGCGCATTGTTGGCCAGAGCATAGTACCCGGAATCTTCAAGCAGCGCGACCCCGGCGAGCACCAGATCGATTATGGTGCGGTTGAGGGCAAGGAGATTGTCGCCGACGACAAGTCGTTCGTCCCGCTGTTCGAGCAGCTCTCCAAGGCGCTGCGCGTCAAGAAGCATCCTGTATGGGACAAGGACAATGTCCGTCACGAGCTTGAGGGAAGTGTTGAGACTAAGGGTCTGATCGGCACCGACGGCAGGCGGTACGCTCTGGACCTCTACCGCCTCACACCTCTCGACGTTGCTTGGATTGAGGCCCACTGGACTGAGCCCAGCAAGGAGGGTGAGAAGGAGGCAACAGACAAGGACTACCCCCACCGCATGACAACACTCCGCCCTGAGCTCGTGGAGTCTTACGGCAGGGTCAAGCTCCGCGAGTACGTCAAGGAGCAGATGGCTAAGAAGACCACAAAGAAGGACGAAGCCCCTGCGAAGGAGGCCAAGGCTGAAGAAAGCTCATCTGAAGAGGAATCTTCGGAAGAGGAGTCATCCGAGGAGGAGTCTTCTTCGGAAGAGGAGGACTCTGATGAAGAGAAGGAGAAGATTCCCAAGGCCAAGAAAATCTCCAAGGCGGAGAGGAAGGCCGCGGAGAAGGCTGCCAAGGTTGCAAAGAAGGAAACCGAGGAGAAGAAGCCTGAGGCCGAGGACCCTGAGCAGGAGCGTGTCGACATTTCCGGATTCTCCTTCGCGCTCAACCCTGATGTCTTCTCGGGCCAGAACCCGCAATCAGATGAGGACAAGAAGGAGTGGGCTCAGGACGAGGCTGAGGTCCGCGCTGCTTGCGAGCACCTCACTTCGGAGGTAATTCCTCGCATGGTCCAGGAGCTCAAGGAGGGCGAAGTCGGCTTCCCAATGGACGGCCAGTCTCTGAGCAACCTTCTGCACAAGCGGGGTGTGAACATGCGCTACCTTGGAAAGCTTGCTGAGCTGGCTGACAAGCCTGACCCAAGGCTTCAGGCCTTGAAGCGTCTCATCATCCAGGAGATGATCGCACGTGGTTTCAAGCACTTTGCCAACTCCAAGCTGCGCAACGTGTCCGCGCCTTTCGCAGCACCCGCAGCCGCCCACCTCCTCAACTGCTTGCTCGGAGCCGATGTTAGCGCTAAGCCTGTGGCAGAGTGTGACAGCAGCCTCAAGAAGATGTACCCCGAGGATGACTTTAGCTTCGAGAAGCTCACACCTGAGGCCCTCAAGAAGGAGGTTGTCGCTCAGGTTGCCCTACGATTCCGCTACGACCTCGGTCAGTCGTGGATCGAGTCTGGCAAGGAGATGCAGATGCTCCGTGAGGTCTCCCTCAAGCTTGGTCTCCAGCTGGAGTGCAAGTCGTACGCCTTCACCAAGGAGGCCTTTGCCGCCAGCCAGCCCGCTGAGAAGCCCGCCGCGCCGCAGACCAACGGCCACTCCACATCTTCCAAGAAGAAGAAGAACAAGTCTATTAGCACCCCACCAGCCCGCACGGCCAGCCCCACTGTCCCCCTTGCTCCCCAGACCTTCCATGCAGACGACATTCTGAACATTGTCCCTGTCATTAAGGAAGCTTCGCCAAAGAGCTTGTTGGCCGAAGAGGCACTAGAGGCTGGTCGCATGTCCATTGCCCAGGACCAGAAGGAGCTTGGCCAAGAACTGCTCCTGGAGTCTCTCCAGCTACACGAGCAGATCTACGGTGTACTGCACCCTGAGGTAGCTAAGGCTTACCACACCCTGTCGAACCTGCTCTACAGTCTTGACGACAAGGTTTCAGCTCTTGAGCTTGCACACAAGGCGATCATCGTGTCGGAGCGAACTCTTGGTGTCGACCACTCCGAGACCGTGCTTGCCTACCTCAACGTCGGTTTGTTCGAGCATGGCTCGGGTAACACCACAGCCGCTCTGATCTACGTCCGTCACGCGCTCGAGCTGTGGAAGATACTCTACGGCCCCGACCACCCCGACTCTATCACAACTCTCAACAACGCCGCTGTCATGCTGCAGGCTGCGAAGATGTACCACGAGTCGCGACTCTGGTTCGAGGCTTCGCTCGCCGTTTGCGAGGAGGTCTGCGGCAAGAACTCCATCAACACAGCGACTCTGCTGTTCCAGACCGCCCAGGCTCTCGCTCTCGACAAGGACATGCGCGGTGGTGTCAACCGCATGCGCGAGTCTTACAACATCTTCAAGGAGGTGCTCGGTGCGGAGGACCGCAACACCAAGGAAGCCGAGAGCTGGCTCGAACAGCTCACTCACAGCGCTGTCTCTCAAGCCAAGCAGCTCAACGACCTCGCCAAGACGCGTATCCGTCGCATGCAGCTCCCCGGCCGCAACCCCCTGCGACCCGCTGCCGCCACTCCTTCCGCTAGTGATGCCGCTGCCGCCGCCGGTAGCCAGCGCATTGGAAATGGTCGCGTTGACCAGCGCAAGATTGAGGACCTCCTCAAGTACATTGAGGGAGATGCGCAGAAGACACCGTCGAAGAAGAAGCCGACGAACCCCAGGAAGCGTTAAACTTGCTATGTCATGTTTTTGACGTTGTCTCATATTGTTACGAAGCTACGCCAAAAGTATACATACCACAAAAAGTGCTGTTGTTTGCGCGATAACGATCCGTATCATACCTGCAGAACATCTTAGCAGCAGCTTTTACGAATCTGATGCGCTTTCTCTTTTGATTCACGGGAATCTGGCTTTTTGGTATGGCTTCGGCTTGCATTCTTTGGAGTTTTTGGGTTGGCTGGCTGGTGGTTGATCTCGCCATGGGGAGATGGATGGGCATGTACTTTACGCATACCGACGCACATCAAAGCTCTTTCCCTGTATATCTAGATAGACTAGGGCGGAAGGCTCAAGGGAACAAAATATATGTCGGATGTACATGGACTGTATGGTATGGTAGGGTAGGGTAAATAGGAGGAGTGGAATGGATGGAAATAGGTGGGATAAGGAAGGAACATGGACGACGAGACGACTAGATGTACTCAATACCAATGCAAGAATATCTCCTCTTCACTCACGTCACAACTACTCCATGGAGGTATCAAGCCGACGCCTAGAGGTAAAGACGCTACGAATATTGGTAGACTGCCCGATACATCGATGGAACTCACAGATATGGGACCGCACAAGTGACTGGCTTCACGTACAGAGTTAGCACAATCTCTTACTTTTATACACTAGCAGCTGATACATACAGGCTATCTCTTCTTTCTCTACCGTATAACACTAGCAAAAGCATCTCTCAAAATGCGCTAGAATCTCAAAAGTGAAAGTGAAAGTGAGTTATCAGCTCCTCGCTTGTTGCACTGCGTTGGTCAAATTTGAAAATTTCACCCACTTCAATTTTCATCTTACGCTGGTCCTGCTCCTTCCTTCCCTGAAGACAGCTTTTAATACTTCAGTCACCAGCTTCTTGTCGCTGTCCTTCCGCCTGCTTACCTTCATCCGCTTCCCTTCGCTCCGTCACATCTTCGCTTCCCCCGACACCGACCGCCGCCATGACTGATCCCAGCGCGCCTTCAGAGGAGGATGCTAGAAGGGCACGCATAGAGAAACGTACGTACTTCCAGCATTTCCAGCACTGAGGTGGCTACAATGCGATGTCGCATTCAGCCTTAGTACAAACACGTCACCAAGGTTGAAGTATACATTGTCTTAGACCCTGCCCTCTTATCCAGTTCTCAGAGTGTGTATGCAGCAATCCTAGTCGTATTCTTTTCAATCCTACCGGGGTTGAAGTACACATTGCCTTTGTCACTATCCTCTTATCAAGCTTGCATAGTTTGTATGCGGCAAAGTGCTAACTCAATGTCCAGATCGCGATGTAGTCGACATGCTGGTCAAGGTCACGTCGAACATCAAGCTCCAAGGGAGTGAAGACTGGGCTGCTCTTGTACGCGATAACCAGACACAGGCCTCCAAAGATCTGAAGAAAGAGAGGGAAACGTGCGACACCAAGATTGAGAAGATGAGAGTAGAGGTCAAGGAGGCCCAGAGTTCGTCGAACTGGAACTCAAACAACCTCTACAAGATGGAGGTCGACAAGGCCGCCGTTGACAAGCGACTGGAGACCCAGGATGCGCAAGTCAAGCGCCTGCAGACATTCGCAGACTCGAGCGCTGAGAACACCATGCTCAAGTCGACTATAGAGAAGCTGCAAGCTCAGCTTGATGCTGCGACCGCAACATCCTCGAAAGAGGCTGCTGAAGTTCGGATCGAGGCTCCCATCAACCTCGCGATGTCTGCAGCGACACGCGAAGCTGATGGCGCGCGTAAGATGTTACAAAAGACGGAAGACAACAAAGCCTCTGAGCTCGATGCCCGCGATAAGACTATCGCGACCCTCAACGACAGGATTGCGGCCCTCGAGGACTGGATCGCCGCAGACCAGATCACTAAGGCTGATCTGCGTGAAACCATGCGAGACTACCGTCGCCAGCTTGACGAGATGAAAACTATCATTGACCAGCGATCCGCCGCCATGGATAAGCTGACCGAAGCCTACGATAAGGTCACGACTACGAACAGCAACCTCTACCAACAGCTCCACGAAGCTTACCTTCTCGCGCAGACGAACATGGAAGTGACACGTTAACCTAATGAAAGGGACACCCGAGAGCCTACGTTGACGTTAGGTTAGTAACTTTGCAGGTTTTTGTCTTGATGTGGTCTGCAGACCTGTTGAGTTTTTTTCGTGTATGAAGTGGTGAGATGCATGTAGGAAGAACAAGGACGTTGGTATCACCATGAGTGTTGTACATCAGAACTTACGTGATTTACGAATCTGTCGAAAGCGCTTGCAGCTAGCTACAGCATTTCATGTTTTACAAACAGCTTGTGGCTACATCGAGAATCTCCAGGGTTACCCAATTGTCATGAGAGTGCCAGCGCCAACCTGTCGCAGCTCGCGGCCTACTTCTTTTGAAGCTCTGCTTCGAGTTTTGCATTGCGCTCTCGAAGGTCTTTGACGGTCTTGCGGAGATCTTCTGCAGCAACCATCTGTATACCGATGGTGTCCTTGAGAGCGTCGATGGTGCCTTTGAGGGCGTCAATCTCGGGCTTCTTGTCGCTAACGTCCGGTTTCTTGTCGTTGATATCCGGCTTCTTGTCAGCGAGCGGGCCTGCATCTTTCGCTTCCGCGTCTGGCTGGGCGGACTTGCTGAGGAAGGCGGCTTCCTTGGTCTTTGTCTCCTTGAGCGCCGCAAGTTCTAAGCTCTGGTCGGCGAAAGCACCTTGCAGAATCGCGGAGCTCTGATTGTGCCTGCCGAGATCAGCCTCGTAGTCCTCCTGCGCGGCTTCAAACTCTAGTGCGTGTTCCTTCTTAATCGTCTCGATTTGGATCTCATAGTTCTTCTGCCAAGCTGTTAGCATGGAAAATAGACTGTCTTAGCACTGCGTTGGCAAAGCATAGCAAGGAAGCTACATACTAGTAATAAGTTAGCAAAACAACTTGAGAGCTATTCGTGGTGGCTACTTTACCCTTTATTTCTTTGAGAAGCCAGTCGCAGTGTTTCTTTTCGTCGTTAAGCTTGGTTTCGTACCGCTTTTCCATATCGCTCTCCCTGGTCTTGTGCTTGCTGATAGAGTGACAAAGCTTGGCATTATATTCCTCCATCTCTGCAATATTGGTCTTGTAGTCCGTTTGTATGCCCTTGAGCGTGAGCCCGGCGGATTTCCTCTGGTCGCAGAGCTTGGTCTCGTAGTGCTTTATGGTTTCCTCGAGCTTGGACTGCGATTCGTTCTCCAGGTCAGCAATCTTGGCCTCGTAGTTCTCGGCGAGGTCGTTGAGCTTGATGTCGGATTTCTTCTTTATCTCGACGCAATCATGACTGATGAAGTCCCTCACGCGTTCGATCTCAATCTCTTGGAGTTTCTCCTTATCGCTGAGCTTGGCCTCGTAGTCCTTGATGGTGTTCTCTAAGTTGGCCTGGGACACCTTCCCCATGTCGGCGAGCTTGGCTTCGTAGTCGGCCTTCTGCGCCTCGAGCTTCTCAGTGGCTTCCGACTCGATAGGGCCCGGTTTATGAAACGGATTACTAGACACGATCGACGCGGGACCCATGAACTTGTGATGTTTCTCAACTACCATCTCTGGGTTCATAGTCAGCAAGGGTAGTGTAGATGGTAAGAAAAGGGCGCGCACTTACCATGTGCTGGAGGGGGCTGATTTACAGAGAGTTGGTAGCCACGAGGAAGGAGTGAATTTCTACGACGTGTGTAGATCGGTCCAGACATTGCAGCTGCGGGGTGAGTGAGAGACGGTTGAGGGAGGAGCGGTTGAGTGAGAAACGGTTGAAGAAGAAGCAGTTGATAAAGAGGCGAGTAAGCAAGCGATCTTGGCGTGGTACGAGTGGTTAGTTGCCTGGAGAATGCTTTTTCCAGGATAGTGAAGGGTTCGGACATGGCGAACACGTGACTCTAGAAAGAGAGCGACGTTACCCAGGGGACTTATCTTAAGACCAAATTATTTCCATTGTTGCACTTATACTGCTTCTATTGCTTGCTGCAAGCCCCCTTTCCTTATCTACTCGACATAAAACACCTCCTCCGTCTGTCCCCACCACCCCGGCCCCGTCGCGCTACCTTTCGCACCCTTCACAGGGCTCTCTTGCATCTTGTCCGTCATCTTCCACCATTTCTGCACGACCTTGTTCTCCGCCATGCGCGCCATGTCTTCGTCGAAGTTCTCGCCGACGTATTTGAAGGACGCGAAGAGCATGGGGCGGGGGAAGAGGTTCATGTATATCGAGTCTGATAAAACATGTCAGTAAATCCTGCTCAGTCTGCTTGCTATGTAGCTCAGATGGATAATAAGCAACGTACAGTCCTTGATATTCGAGTCCTTGATCTGCTCCAGTACCTCCGGCCAGACTTCCGCATGGCATTTCTTGTATTCTTGCACACATTCCGGTTTTAACCAAAGCCATTGGCCTATTCTGCGGGGACCTTGGTTTTTCTTGTCGAGCGCGTCTGGGTCTTCTCCGTTCTTGATCGCCATTTCACGGGCTACTTTGCGGCGAGTTTGTTCTTCGTTTGCAAGACCGCCGGAGAGTGCGAGGACGGGGTCAGTGATAGCTTGCCACATTGGCATTGTCAGAGTTGGGTTAGATCGTCTGGTTGTTGGTGTGACGGGAGAGTGGTTGGAGTATTTGGTGGTTTGGGTGGTGGTGTTGTTGTTGTAGCGGGGGAATTCGTAGAGCTATAGCTTTGGAGGGGTAATTGTCCGTCTTAGCTATCTTCTCCTATTGACGGGCCGTCGCGTTTATTTATGTGAGCGCGTCTTGGTCGGAACATCATGTGCCGAGGGGCAAAGCTTGGTGGAGCTTGTACGGCCCGGCGTGTGTGGCAGTGAACATGTCAGTGTGGGGTACAAAGCTGTACGCCTAATCAGGTATGACGATGTTTTGAAGATAGATTGTGAGATTGAACGAGGCTCTTGCAGCCCAGGGCTTGGCTGCGAGGCAGATTTGTGGGCAAGGCTGGTGGCCTGGATGATTTGTGGAGAGGAAGTAGATCATGGAATGGAAGCTTGAGTGGAGCTTTGATGGCTGGGTTGTGGCAGTGACGATGCGCGTGGGGCAGGTACGCGGAACTTCAATTGTTCGAGGATGCGCGTCCAGAGAGCTGCACCAACGTCCAGAACACACCATATCAACTTTCGCAGCGATATAGATGCACCAAGGTACCAGTTTCAGGATAAATCATCATGCAAGGATGCGGGAGCGAATGCCAGACGATGCAGCGACTGCCGGACTACGTCGCGAGGTGAGTACGACGGTCGTGACGTTACGTGTATGTCTATTGAGGCCTATACTACGACTTTTTTGGTGTTTGGTAAGCTGTCAAGGTGATTTATTGCTCAAGAAGGTATCGGAGTCGAGATTCACACGATCAAGACTGTGTTGGGATGTCGCTGTGTTCGCACCTGCCACTTTGGCACTCACTTTCCTCCTTCACCGACGTTATTTCGATATACTGGTGTCTGAAGTCACCCGTCTCTTCTTCCAATGCTTTGAGTCCTGGTGTATTCCAGCTGCCATGTCGAAAAAACATCGACAGGCAACAGGCAAGGTCGGTGTCCCATCGGCGATGTCATCAAAGTCTTTCGCAAGACCAAAGCGGTGGAGATGCGGCGGGAACATTTGACCAAATTCATTGGTAAGCTCCTAGATGTTCAGTTCGTTTCAATGCTTCTTTGAGGTTTGCCGTTAGTCGTTGTCGTCTCCGCGCACGGCGTCGCCAGTAGCCATCTTTCATCTCGACGTCGACGTCTACGTCTCACGCCCTCCTCAACCGCGCATTGCAAATGGGAAAGCCGATGTCTCCTGCAATACGAGATTAGAAGTGAAGGAGAACAAGCGTTAGTCAGCCCTTCGCTTGGCGCACTGTGGGAGTCAATATCCGCCTTTACCTGCGTTTCTTTCTCCGCCCACACCAGTCTCACGCTTCCACCTTCGTACGCGCGAATTTCCCAATTCAGTAGCTTCACATCTATTGGCGTCTACTCGCTCTCCCTCTGAAGTCGCTTTCCATCCATGTCTCTGCCATTCCACCTCGATCCGCAGGCACATCTCCAGGGTCTGCGACTGCCTCCGCTACCACTCACTCATCTGCCTTTCGCTCTTCCGACATCATCTGCCGCTGCTATGGCTGGCCAATCCGTATACCCGCCTTCTGGAGGTCAAGAAACTCCCCGCAGCGAAGTAGATCTCGACTTAGGTACGTGACCCCACCATCTGACCCATTCTCACTGACCAAACATCCAGCCCTCCAGCTTCAAGAGCTCGAAATCAACACCCTCAAGGACACTGTCGCCATGCGAAATGAGACGACCAAAGACCTATGCGACACGATCGCCATCCAAAAGGAAGCGACTCAAGACTTTCGCGCCGTCATCAAGGATCTTCGGGAGCGCAATGGCGATCTTCAGGAAACCAACAGGGACCTCGCTTCCAAGAACGCGGCCCACGTAGACCAGCGAAACGAGCTTCAAGAGACCAAAATTGAGATGGCACAGCTCCGGGACGACTATCTTGAGTATCGCGACAATTGGAATCGCAGTGAGGAGCTCGTCGGCGAGCTGCACACCAAGGCCAAGGAACAGAACGAGACCATCCAAGACCTTCAACAGCAATACTCAAGCTTAAGCACTATCTACAAGAATCATAGTCTATATGTATCTCGGGTCTCTGCAGCGTACAAGGCCAAGGATACGGCGTTCCAGGAACTTAAGAACGCGCATGATGAGCTTCAGGTCACCTACATGACTAAGACCGGCGAGCATAGCGCAGCTATGAACGATCTCTCTGCATCGTACGAGGCTAAGGAAGTAGAGCTACAAGAGCTGAAGGATGAACTGCAAGAGCTTCGCGACTACTACAAGGGCCAGGAAGAGATTATGGAAGGGCTGATGCCTAGGACCAAGGAGGATGATGAGATTATCGCTACACTGAACGCCAAGGTCAAAGAGCAAGATGACGCTCTCACCCTGTCGCAGCAGCAAGTACAAGACCAAGAAAACACCATTACCGAGTTGGAGGAGCGACTTGCCGAGGCCAAGAAGAGTGAAGGAGTAGATGCGGAGGCTATCGCGGAGTCTGAGCGACAGCTAAGCACAAAGAACGACGAGATCGCCGAGTTGCAAGAGCAAGTCTCCAAGGGCATGTCTGGTGCCTTCACCCGTAAGATTGTTGATCATATGGAGGCCAAGATCAAGAAGCGCGACGAGGCTCTTAAGAAGTTGCAGCGGCAGGTACAGGAAAAGGACAACCTCATCAGGTACTTGCAGGTAGAGGTTTCCTTCTTAAAGGGCGAGGTTGACTACTCGGAGGACGACGACGACGGCGACTACTGGGCGAACCGTGAATCATGATTGATGCATCTAAAGACACTCGAAAGAGTACAGGCAGACTGAGACAAGACGATTCGAGGAACGAAAAAACTGTAAAATAACTGGTATCAAAATGAGCTATAGAGCCACCGACACACCCATGTGTCCTCCACTGAATAAACCAAATGAACCCAATAGATTCGGCCACCCTTCTCAGACCCTGTCTGCTGTGACATCCATAAGAATGTGAATGCCGCAAATCCCTAATTCTCAAGTCTTGCCCATACTAGTACACTGACGTCGGCTGCACACCACGCCCTCACTACCTCACACCCCCTACAACGGCTGGTAATCCGTGCTAGTGTCTCCAACCCATCCGTACCACAGCGCAACCACCGTATTCGCCGCAACCCAGACACCCGCGTATCCAACAGCACCAACAACATCAGTACCAATGAGCGTCATACACCGTTGAACGGTACCCGCGAACAAGAACGCATTCAGAATAACCGTCTGCTGAATAAGCGTCCTCGTCCTCTTACTGTAGTTGAAGAAGTTGTGCTCAATAGTCTTAGGAAGAGTCGCGGTGCTCGGATCGAAAACCTCAACCGGCGTCTGCGCACCACTCCTCTGCGCCGCAAAGCTCGGATTAAGCAAAAATGCCTTCGCCGCCCAGCCCACCACAATAGTCTTCGCCAGAATCGACACCGGAGACTCGTTGTGCGCCGCCTCCAACGTAGGAATGTCAAAGTACTGGACCAAGAACGTGTTCAGAAACCCGCTTGTCTGGCCCGCCCACAGCACGACAATGTACACGGCGATGGCGAGCATCGACGACGAAACCTGCACTTGGATGCTGTTGAGCAGGAAGCGGTTGCGCAGGGGCTCGTTGTTGCGGTGGACGATGGAGCGGGGGCGGAGGAGGTATGTGGGTATGGCGAAGGAGAGGACTTCGATGGTTATGTTGGCGGCGGCGGTGAGCGCGCTGATCTCGTAGTAAGTGGTGAGGAGGTAGGTGAAGGGCGCGTAGGTTAGGACGGTTAGGGCGGAGACGTCGAAGACTATTCTCTTTGTTAGCAATGCATTCCCATCATCTCTCAATATTGTGATAGTGGTTTTGGCGCGTCTTACAGTCATAGTTAAAATACCACGTCATCCACACCGTAACCCAGCGCATCGCGACGCGCGCCGCCGGCGAGTAAAACGACGTGACATCGTCCTCCTGCGGCACCTTACTCACAGCACCCAACTCCGGACGCAGAAAGTTCGCCGTAAACTCCCACAGCAGCATGTTGATGCCCATGTTCAAGCTGATGAGAATGGGCACGCGCAGCGCCGTGGGCAGACGCGAGCGCGCGGGTGCGCGTTTAGGTGCTGGGACGACATCGGGCGCGGTGCGCTCGATGGTTGCCGGTGGTGCCATTTGTCTGTCGCGTTGAGGTTGTGGTTGTGAATAGAGAGAGGGTGGTGATGGGAGTGACGGAGAGGTAAAAAGAAAGTTTGAGGTTGTGCGCGCAGGGCTGGGATGGGGTGGGCGCGCTGGCCGTGGGGATGGGGGAGGAAGCTTGTGTTGGAGCTAGCGACGAGATCTTTGTTTTGGACCTGCGTCATTGCGCGACGGGCAAAATAGTGAACCGTGTCCGTGCGCGAGGCAATCTCGAACATATTAGGTGATATTTGCACTGTGCAGGCTGGATGTCGTGAATATGTTTTCGTATTGTATCCATGGATTGCAGTTGATAGATCAGAGCTCGCTCAGACCCAGCATGTGCGTCGTGGTGGTGATCATTCGACATCCTCTCTAGCGGTGGATTAGGTGGAAAGAACCTTGGAAGTCTTTCATTAGATCTTTGACCATACGCGTACCTCTCCATCACCACTCTAAACAAGATACCTAAAATCACCCATCTGTTTCCTCCCCTCCTCAACACTAACCCCCTCCACAGCCGCCGTCTGCTCCGCCACATCCCCATGCACAACCCACGCATCCGTCCCATCATCCAACCTCTTATTCAACCTCACTAGAATAACCCTGAAAACAAAGCATCCCGCAATCGTAACCCCGAACATCGCCGTAACAACCCCATAGCTGTTCCTGTACCCATTGTCCGACATATTCCACACATAACTCCCAGCGATGTTGCCGAGCTGCGAGAACGCGTTGATCATGGCGATGGCGACGGCGCGCTTGGCGGGTGGACGCGGGAACGAGGAGGAGATCCAGGAGTAGAAGACGATGAAGCCGGCGTAGGAGGAGGCTTGCAGGAAGAGGGCGACGTAGCGGCCTGCGGTGTTCGATGTGGCCATCGAGATGACGAACCCGACGATTCCCAGCATGATCGGGCACACGATGTGCCAGAAACGTTCTTGCTGCCGGTCCGCGTGCCACGCGTTGATGAGCGAGACTACGCAAGCAAAGGCCCACGGCGGCGCGGACATGAGCAGCGTGGTGATGTATCCGAAACCGAGCGTGCGTGTAAGCGTAGGGAAGAAGGCGTTGAACGACAGTCCAACTACGTATGCCGTAAACGTGAGCATCATGACATAGATCTTGAGATCCTTGACTGCCATGAAGAAACCCGCGAACGCAGATTGCTCAGCCGAATCTTCATCTGCTTCGCCGACATCTTCGGTCATCCGTAGGACGGCGACGGCGCGCTCTTCTTCGGTGAAACCCTTTGAGTTGTGCGGGAGATCGGGGAGGATGAAGATCGCGGAGATGGCGATGAGCATCGTCGCTGCGCCTTCAATCCAGTACAGCCACCTCCAGGCGCGGTGGCCAAGCGTGCCTTCCATGTTTCCCAGTACCGCGGCGCCGACCAGGGAGGAAAAGGCGTTTGAGATCAGGTTTCCACAGAAGAGGATCGCGTTCCGCAGCGTGAGTTCGCGGCGCGTGTACCATTTCGACAGGATAAGCAGTGCGCCAGGTAGGAAGGCGGCTTCGACAAACCCGATGAAGAAACGGATTGCAACCATGCCGGCGAAATTTGTGACGTTTCCAGATAAGGTGGAGATCATGCCCCAGATGAGCATTACGATGGCGATGTAGAGCGACGGACGCGGGATCTTGTTGATGATCATGTTGGACGGGACCTGCATTAGGATGTATCCCACATAAAGAATAGACAGACATGTGCTGTATTGCGTGGGGCTGAGGTTGAGGTCTTCTTCCAGACCACCCAGACGGGCGGCAGCGATGTTATTCCGGTCGAGATCTGGGAACACTCGTTAGTAACGCATCATTTGGTTGCGTAGGTGATATGTGAGCGGCGTTACTCACAGTTCATAATATAAATCAACACAAAAAGCGAACATCTCGCATCCAACTTCCTCTTCAACTTCTTCTCCACCTCCGCCCTCCTCTCTGGACTCATATTCGCCGCAAGCCCACCAACCTTCGCTGCGTGGTGATGTTCGGAGATCTGTGCCGCATCGTGGGCAGAGATCTTGTCGTCCGCCGGGTACTGTGTCGACACCATCTTTACCAGAGGTCTTTCCAGACGGTCCCAATTCCCGAGCAGTGTTCCTTTTCGCGACGAACAGGAAACGGCAGTTGAACAGACGTTCTATGAGAGAAGTCTGGGGTCCCCTCCTTAATATACACAAACAAGTCGGCTCCTCCGACTTTGCGGATACTCCAGATTTTTGTGGTAACCTTACCCCACTATGCTGGTGCTTGGCCTGTCTAGTGTCTAGCATGCAGGTAGTTCGCCGTCAACCAAATACCGTTGCATTCTACCCCGACCACCAACGGACGGCGTGCATGATGCCCCAGTCATCCTTCAGAGTTTTCTGGTGGTAGCTCGTGTGTTTTGATTAGTCTGCGCGCACGACTCATGCAGCGATGGAGGCGATGGGAAACCAGCGGCGATTTGTGCCTGCGAAAGAAGTCTTTCCCCGCATTAGCTCGTCCTCCGTCCCTGGTCATCTGGAGTCGTCGCCGTCCATCCAATCTCATCCAACCCCATCAGTTAGCCCTCCCGATATTGTTAATTGATTAGTAGGCCGAGCACTTGGCCCGCCATCTTGAACATGACCAAGAAGTCCAAGCACCTGAGGTTGCGCGTGAAGCTGTCTTGACTTGCCGTGCATACTGCGCCCGGTACTGGCACTCGGCTTCTGGCTGGGGCTTGTTCAGAAGCCGATCGCGACGTCGCGTAAGTATGTACGCTGTAATGGATGTGGATGGGCACGGGCAGGCAGGATCCGACAGTCGGCCGCGTTAATGCATGCCGAAGCGAAGGGAAGGCGCATGCGTCACTCCGACGAGGGAAGGGAAGGAACGGCTTGCGGGCACGGGACGGCGTTGAACTTGGGTTTTTGAGCCGCATGCAGCGCGCAGAATTGACGTCGCAAGCTGCAGTCGCAGGTCGCATGGCACCAGTACTCTTCTCGTGCACTCCCTGTCCAATCTTCTGCGATACCGCTTACCACGGCGTATATCGCCACATTCCCTACACACCCACAGCGATGTGATCCCCAGCCCGACGCACACAATTGCGGAGACTGGAGACTCCGCTTGCTCCAAGCGGAGAAAGACGCACATCCTCATGTGACGCTGAGCCGCACGTTCACCGCCCTGATCCAACCATCGGTAAACTGCACCTGGAGATAACACCGGTTCGCTGCAATTGTACCGTGTACGTAAATCGCCGCCGAGCAGCTCCGCGGGTGAACTTCGGATCGGAGGTTGCAAGCGTCGCGCCCATGCATTGGTGTCGCGTGCGGGATTGGTGGGTCGGTTTTTGAGGACTTTCATGGATGGGTAAGGCTATGGGTGGGTGGGTGATTAGTGATCGTGCTGCTGCTGCCATCGGTTTCTCCCTTGAAGTTTTTGAACTGCGTGAGTTTTTGGTATGAGCACAGGGTCTTGAGGTAGTGGTAAAATGACTTCGTTTCTTGTGGAGTGTCGAGCGGAGAAGAGCAGGAACATCACAGGATCGGTGTTGGCTTTTTGGACAACGACCATGAGGTTGACGCTGGCGGTTTCCGCATCTCGACATCAATGTGGGTTCGTGATATTTGAAGTGTTCGGAGCGATC